GTTCAATCAGTCAATTTCAACTTCTCGCGGGGGGGGGGAAGATCTCGCAAAGTTGGAATTGATTGATTGAACTTTTTAGTCCCACCCAGTCTGCCGTTACCACCGCAGCCATGCCCACCTAATGGGCCACACACCCCCAATTGGCCACACCCAGCCAATGGGCCACATCCACCTGGCACCCCACGATGTATAAGTGGGTTTTGGGTTGCAGTTTGGGCACTCGGTCTCTAAAAGGTTCGCCATCACTGCCCTATACCATTTCAGACAAATGGCTGTCCAGTCTCTTCTTAAAAACTTCCAGTGTTGGAGCATTCACCACTTCTGGAGGCAGGTTGTTCCACTGGTTAATTGTTCTAACTGTCAGGAAGTTAGTCTCCTTAGTTCTAGGTTGCTTCTCTCTTTGATTAGTTTCCATCCGTTGCTTCTTGTCCTACCTTCAGGCGCCTTGGAAAATAGCTTGACTCCCTCTTCTTTGTGGCAGCCCCTGAGATATTGGAACACTGCTATCATGTCCCCCCTCGTCCTTCTCTTCATTAAACTAGACATACCCAATTCCAGCAGCCGTTACTTATATGCTTTAGCCTCCAGTCCCCTAATCATCTTTGTTGCTTTTCTCTGTACTCTTTCTAGAGTCTCAGCATCTTTTTTACATCGTGGTGACCAAAACTGGATGCAGTATTCCAAGTGTGGCCTTACCAAGGCATTGTAAAGTGGTATTAATACTTCACGTGATCTTGATTCTATCCCTCTGTTAATGTAGCCCAGCACTGTGTTGGCCTTTTTGGCAGCTGCAGCACACTGCTGGCTCATAAGGAGATTTTAAATCTGCTAAATGCCATCTGCTTTGGTAAAATTGCTTGCCCAGAAATCTCCATTACGTCAAATCAAGACACACAGCAGGACCCACCCAGAAAAATGCACTTAAAAAGAGAGGGTGACTATATATGGTAGAAGAAACAGATAAACTTTAGAAACATTTAAAGGATTGTATTATGTGTGCTGGTATGCATTTGCATGCAAAGTGTGTGTCACCATGCTTTGGGTGAAGCCTTCATTTTTGACAGTCAGAAATTTTAATGTAATGAAATATACAACGAAAAAAATAGTGAATAAGAGATCAATTAATTTTTACCCCTTCTGAGATATGTCAGGATTCTGCTACCACCTTTTCTGTCTTACCAATTGTATTAGAATGCATAGCTGACACAGATATATGCCTCTTTATAAAATATGAGAAGCTGCTATTGGATGCCTTCCGATTTTTGGCTACCAGAGACTCATATGGCTCTCCTCCTAATTGAGTCTTCATTCAAATTCCCCGCTGTTTGTAATTCTGAGTGTCACAAACACAACCCTTGGGAGACGCACCCTATCCTCAGGATCTCTGGTGAATGTCGGAAACTCTACTGTTGCAAAATATGACTTTAAAGGGGAAAACAACATTAAAAAGAAATGAAATTGTGGAATGGCTCCTAAACAAAGAGAAAAGCCCATTAAAGCACCTTTTTTGTTTCTTTAATCACAAGAATGGAACATCATAGAAGGCAGGGCATATTTTTAATAAAATTGATCTATCTTCAATTAACAGTACAAATATGGAGAGAATTCATATCTGATCTTTTAACAGAAGTGTAACTGCAGTATGAAAATTTACAACAAATGACATAGCACCGTGTATATCTAAGAGGATTGGTTAATTTTGCTTGAATTCATTCATTCTATATTAGATTTAGTGCGGTCTGATTAATCTGGGTATTCCATTATTAGTGTCGGTGTCAATAATTCTACTTTGTATTTTGCATATTCAAATTCAATCAATGTTAATATCAATACATTTATAGTGTTTTACGTTTTTAATCTTAGATTATACGGTTTTTAATATTTTATTGTACTGATTAATTTGTACACTGCTCAGATCCCTCTGTGAGGGAGACAGGCAGTTAAGTCTGATACATAAATAAAATAAATGAATGATATCCTTGATTAGTGTTCTACATTTAAGTCTTAAGCATGGCATAAATTGTTATCCCTCGCCATTGCCCCTCTTTTGCCATCTGGCATTTTGGTTGTAAATATGAGACATGTCCCAAAAGACAAAAAAAAACATTTTTCAGAGAATAATAATAATAATAAAAACACACTCTCTGCAATGAACTCTTTCAGCCGCTAGCCATCAATTCTTCCACGTTCTTCCCTTCCATTCCCTCTTACCAATGTCCCCTTTTATTCCCAAAAGGCGTCAGAATACCGTAGTCACTAAGAGTTTGCATTATAGTATGGTCCTCTCAAAGATCCAGAGGCTTTTGAACCATATCAAGCATTTTCAGCTCCTAAGGATAATAAAATCTGATGTGATAACAGGAGGGAGGGAGAGGGACAGAGGGAGAGAGAAAGAGAGAGAGGATAAAGAAGAGTATATATGAAAAGAGAAGTCTAAATGGAATCTAAAAGGAGGGCTTGGAAACAGAGAGCATAAAGGTTAGTATATGGCAGATTAAACTTATCACTGTGCAAAGTCTAATATGACAAGATGGATGCTCAGCAAGACTAATTTATGACACAGGTCATCCATCCTCTGACAAATTTTAAGTGCCGATCCTCAGAACCTGTTAACTGTAGAGATAGGGGCCAGGTAGAGGTCGTGAGCAGCAAACTGCCCTTCCAACGCCTGCATGCCTCTTCTCTCTACATCAGTGGTTCTCAACCTTTTTAATGCCGCGACCCCCAACCGGTCATAATTCGAGGACTAAACCGGTCGTAAGTCGAGGACTAAACCGGTCGTAAGTTGAAGACTACCCAACCGGCCGTAAGTCAAGGACTTTCCCTGCCCGGGAGCGCCACGCATGCGTGGTTCTGCCCCCTGCGCCGGCTGAGGCGTAGCTGGCAAGCGGCAGAGACGGAGCAGGCCGACCACCAGCTGGCCCAGCCCAAGGGAGGTAAGGCACCCGCCGGAAAAGGGGGAAAAAATGGCGGACAGCCTTGCCAAATGGGGTCGCGACCCATAGGTTGAAAACCGCTGCTCTACATGATCTCATACATTCACATCACCATGGCAATGTGGGAAACTACCCCAGGCTGGTACATGATATCACCTGGTTCACATGATATCAGCCTGGTTACATCAACAGGATGTGGTAGAAAACTGCTCCCTGTCTGGGGCCTCCTAGCTGGTATATTCTTAAGGATTGGCAAGGGGTTTCACCAATAGAAATGCTACTGCTACGCTATTACCATGTTAAACTTTTGCTGCTTGGAAAACTGTATATAAAGGATAAACGCTGCGAAGGCAGTCAGCCATATTTGCACCCTGCAATGACCGAGCACTGATTACTACAGTTAACATACGTTATAGCAGGGCTTCTATCTGAGAGCAGCTGGGACGTGCAGAATTGTTTTGGGTGCCCTCAGTATTTATGCAGTAATGGCGAGATGAGCCTCTGTAATACAGCCACTGGAGAAGCACGCGCTCTTGTTTGTCTGTGGAGATTCTCAGTCATCCAGGTCATAGTTATCTCAAAGCTGCTTTTTCAAAAGGCAACTGGATTTCCCCCCCCCCCCCAAGGAAGACGAAGACGTTTCTTCCTCATCCGTTAAGCTTCATCAGACTTGGCCAGAACCAACTGCGCTTCGTGGATGAGGAATTTTTCCTTAGGAAAAAACAGTCCATTTGCCTTTTGAAAAAGCAGCTTTGAGACACATGCTTTGTTGTTTCTGCATGTCCAGAGTCACAGGGGCATTATATTATAATCTGACCTCTGAATTCTGTTAATGTAACGAACCAATCTTGAATTCTTTGGAGTCTTTTAAACACAGCACAATTAAAGAGTCATTCGTCTGCATAACTAAAATGTTACTTAGCTGCTCCAAATAATTTTCCTCTTTACTAGTAGGGGATTTGTTTTGGGGGGGGGGGATTTAAAAAGAGCCCCAAGATTGGAGTGAAAGAATTGAAAGGATCTCCCCTGTCTGTCTTGAGAAGAGAGGTTTGCATTTCCTTGCCCCATGTTCACAGCAATGCTGATACTGCCTTTTTATTTTCCTTGTCAAACGTTATGGTTCTTACACAATGCACTTTTATAAATGTCTACAAAATGAAACATTTATCACAGTTTTTCTCAGATCTCCACCACTAAGGGCAGCATCTTGACATTAATATCACCCACCAGACATGAAAGGGCACCTGTAATAGCAATAGCATTTTGACGTATATACTGCTTCACAGTGCTTTACAGCCCTCTCTAAGCGGTTTACAGAGTCAGCATGTTGCCCTCCCCAACAATCTGGGTCCTCATTTTACTGACCTCGGAAGGATGGAAGGCTGAGTCAACCTTGAGCCGGTAACAATCGAACTACCTAACTGTTGGCAGCCGGCAGTCAGCAGAAGTAGCCTACATTCTAGTACCGCATTCTAACCACCTGCGCCACCACGGCACAAGATCGTAGGAGGATTGCTAATAAACATGAAGGTCCTACACTCAAAAGCACAATCGTTTCTCTTCAATATTCTTACAGCACTTTAATATGTTCAACAGCCATTGCCTGTAAAATTTTACAATGCCCTCCCTCATATATTCTCTATTCTGTCCTTTAACCTACCCATCATCTAAATATGATTCTCCTTGACCTAAAATTCTGAAAATGTTAGAAAAAGATGAACTCTAAACTGTCTTTTGTCGTCTTTGAGGAATTACAATATGAGTGCTCCTATTTTTTTAACACTGTATTTTTAAGTCCTGCCACAGATTTCTGAGACCTACCAGAAATGTTCAAAATATTTTATTCAATAAGTACGCTGGCTGAGGAATTGTGGTCCGGAAATCTGGAGGACATCTAGATAGATTAATACTTTGTATGTTGGATTTCTATGCCCTATGATGATTAATATGCAAAAAACGTCCACCCCAAGAGCCTTTTTGCAGAATTGCATTATTTCTGCAAAGGTGAGTATCAAACTAATATTTTCCATTTTGTTCTCTTCCTCCCTCATGTCCAATACTAAGACATTTTAATAAAGTGAATGAGCTGAGAAATTAAATAGTTAATTTCTCAACTGCATTACCAAAGGAGTTCAGAAAGGAAATTCAAGACTTCTCTATATTCAACACCTTTTGCTTCATGTGGATTTTCTTGTGTGCAGTAAGGGAGGAATTTTGAGTAAAGCACCGTCCACATTCTGAGCATTTGAAAGGTTTCTCTCCTATGTGCAAACCTACATGATTTACAAGTTTAGACCTAGTACTAAAACCTTTCCCACAATCAGGACACTCATATGGTTTCTCCCCTGTGTGAGTTCTCTGATGCACCACCAGGTGGGAATTCCGACTGAAACTTTTCCCACAATCCAGACACTCATATGGTTTCTCTCCTGTGTGAATCCGCTGGTGCACCACCAGGTGAGAATTGTTACTGAAACTTTTCCCACACTCTGGACACTCATATGGTTTTTCTCCTGTGTGTGCCCTCTGGTGGTATATCAGGAGACAATTCTGACTGAAACTTTCCCCACAATCCTGACACACATATGGTTTCTTCCCAGTGTGAATCCTCTGGTGCACCACTAGGTGAGAACTGAGACGGAAACTTTTCCCACAATCCAAACACTCATATGGTTTCTCCCCTGTGTGAGTCCTCTGGTGTATCACCAAGGCATAATTCCGAATGAAACTTTTCCCACAATACAGACACTCATATGGTTTCTCCCCTGTGTGAGTCCTCTCATGTATAATCAGGTAGCAGTTCTGACTGAAAGTTTTCCCACAATCCGAACACTCATATGGTTTCTCCCCAGTGTGAGTCCTCTTGTGTATCACCAGGCTGGAATTCTGACTGAAACTTTTCCCACAGTCTGGACACTCGTACGGTTTCTCTCCTGTATGTATCCTCTGATGTCTCACCAGTTCAGAACTGTGACTAAAACTTTTCCCACAATCCAAACACTGATATGGTTTCTCCCCAGTGTGAGTCCTCTGGTGTATCACCAGGTAAGAATTCCGACTGAAACTTTTCCCACAGTACGGACACTCATATGGTTTCTCTCCTGTGTGTATCCTTTGGTGTACCACCAGGTTGGAATTGTGACTGAAACGTTTCCTACAATATGGACACTCATACGGTTTCTCTCCTGTGTGTGTCCTCAGGTGTACCATGAGGTCGGAATTGTGAGTGCAACTTTTTCCACACTCTGGACACTCATACAGTTTCTCTCCTGTGTGTGTCCTCTGGTGCACCACTAGTTGGGAATTCTGACTGAAACCTTTCCCACAATCCAGACACTGATATGGTTTCTCTCCTGTGTGAATTCTCTGGTGCGCCACCAGGTGGGAATTAACACGGAAACCTTTCCCACAATCTGGACACTCATAAGGTTTCTCTCCTGTGTGAGTTCTCCGGTGTATCACAAGGTGGGAACTATGAGTGAAACCTTTCCCACAATCCAGACACTCATATGGTTTCTCCCCTGTGTGCGACCTCTTGTGTACCACCAGATGGGAATTAAGACGGAAACTTTTCCCACAATCTGGACACTCATATGGTTTCTCCCCTGTGTGAGTCCTCTGGTGCATCAAGAGATTGGAATTCTGACTGAAACCTTTCCCACAATCTGGACACTCGTACGGTTTCTCCCCTGTATGAGTTCTCTGATGGTTTACAAGGTGGGAATTCTGACTGAAAGCTTTCCCACAATTTGGACACTCATACGGTTTCTCACCTGTAGGAGTCCTCTGGTGTAACACTAGAGGAGTGTGCTTGCTAAAATTTCCGCCATACTGGAAGCTTTGGTATGGATTCTCTCTGGTGTAAGTCCTTTTATCCTCAAAAGGGTAGGAGCTGTAGCAAAAGACCTTCTCATACTCGGAACATTCATTTGGCTTTTCTCCAGTGTGGAAACTCTTGTGCATAATCAATTGTGATCCACAATCCGTGCTTTTTCCACATCTGTTGGGCGTTTCCATCAATGATATTCTTGGATTCTGGAGGTCAAAAATAGTTTGGATCCCGTCTTGCCTGGTGCTTTGATTCAAGCTACTCTTTATTTCTTCACAGGGCAAGGTTTGCATGACTGCCTGCCCTACATAGCTATCCAAGTCACAGGTTTCTCCCCACCGATTTCCAGATATTTCCATCTTTTATCTGAATTTGGATATGATTCCCCCTTGACTTTTTTGTGGAGTGTTTCCTTGAGTTCCACAGACTCAATTTTTTCCAGCTCAAAACTCTGTTCCTGTTATTCTCTCTTGTCTGTCACTTGATAGGGAAGAAGAATTTTGTTGTTTTCCGGAGGAAACTGGAAGATTTTGATTGCTGACTGGATTCACTTTCTTTTTTAATGCTGTTTGTGATTTTCACTTGTGCAGAATGCTCTTTGTCTATAAGATTGACATAAAGACTTAGTTTAATGATTGTTTGTAAAATGGGTGCCCAACATGTGAAAAACCACAAGTCTGACTGATCCCTAACATTAATTATGATTCATTTGACACACAGAACACTAGCGAGATTCAAATATCCACACAATTGTGAGATTCTCTGGTTGATTTGACTAAATCACAAATTCTTAGCACTACAAAGGGTTATCATCAAATATATCTGGAAATGCTGAGGATAAAATATACAGACATGCACACGGAGAGAAATACAGATACACACACCTACAAATGTATGCATATTGAAAATCCATGTGTACTTCAGCCTAATCATATCCCAGAAATGGGTATACTCAATTTTTTTGGTCTAATTTTGGAGATGTGAAGGGCTTCAACCAGAAGAAATGGTGTCCATAGCCTCTGCAAGATTTAAAGCAACAGATTTGCCAATGACACTCCTTTCTTGGCCAAGAAAACAACATGTTCACAAAAAGCCCAAGGAGTCCACCCTAAACTGAAGAATCTCCCAACCGGCAGAAAATTGAAGGCACCATTTCTAATGCAAGTGGCACCCGTGGAATTTAATTTGGAGAGGGAAGGAACGTGCACTAGCAGCTGACATGTTTCAGCCTAGTTGACTTTTCTGTTTCTACACCATGGAGGAAACCAGGCAGTCCTACTTGCTCCCTGACTCTCCTCCGATCAGCACTCAACTCACCTTTCAGTTGCTGCTTCGACCCTGGGAAGAGCGCGAGAGCCACTGTCCGTGCCACCATCCTCCCATGGGTGCCGGAAGAGGAAGTTCTTCTTCCCTTATGCTCCCTCTCGCGTCCTCTCTAGCAATACCCGATTGTTTCAACGCCTTTCGCCTCAGTCTCCCCATCCTGTTGGATGTCAGCACTCAGCTGCGTTGACGGCTTTCTAGACATCGCTGTTGCGGATCTATAGCGCGCCATCTAGCGACAGAAGCCTGAAAAACACGTTTTTTTGTCTATTCATTGTAAGGCATTTGCTAGATTTTTGGTTAATTACGTGCCGTCAAGTGGTTTTCAACACCCCCGACTACATTGATAGCTTCTCTCCAGGACGGACTATCATTAATTTGTTCTTTCTGGTCTCCCGAGGAGTACTCATCGCCACTGCAACTGCACTGTAACCAGGGAGGTGTTAGTTCATTAGTTTTTGTATGACAGGAGGTTTATTGTTAGGCGGCTGGAGTCACCATGAGTGAATTGGGTGGCCATATAAATTTTTATGAATGAATGAATGAATCAATCAATCAAAGCCAGAAGCTTCAATTGCAAGAAGTGAGAACTAAGGGAAAGTGTGTGTGTGTGTGTAGGGGGGGGAATAGAAATACAAGCAAACAAAGTGCACCTCTCTTGGGGATCAGTAAATACTGTTGCAGCCAGTTACTCGTCTCAGGGGTGCAGGATAACTCCTCAAAACCTACCTTTGCAACTGAGGGAAGCTTGAAGAAAACTAGATCCAACTTAGTTGTAGAAAATTAGTCAGGTGCTGGACCCTAAAAATTCATTAATTTCAAGGTGGAAGGAATAGCCAACACTTTAGATAGACTGAAGGTTCAGAAGGATCTTGACATACTCGAACACTGGGCCCTACTCAACAAAATACAGTTCAGTGGTGAGAAGAGTTAAGGTCCTAGACCAGTGATGGCAAACCTTTTAGAGACTGAGTGCCCAAACTGCAACCCAAAACCCACGTATGCATCTTTGAGTGCCAGGTGGGTGTGGCCCATTGGCTAGGTGTGGCCAATTGGGTGGGCGTGGCCAATTGGGTGGGCATGGCTGCAGTGGTAACAGCAGACTGGGTGGGACTAAAAAGTTCAATCAATCAATTCCAACTTTGCAAGGACTTTTTTTTTCCTGCGAGAAGTTGAAATTGACTGATTGAACCTTTTTTTTTTTTTTGCACATGGCAGTGGAGGCCTAAAGGGAAAAGGTTTTATAAAACCCAGCTGAAGCCTAGGACTGGGGCGACGACACGCGTGCCCACAGAGAGGGCTCTGAGTGCCGCCTCTGGCACCCGTGCCATAGGTTCGCCACCACTGTCCTAGACATAGGCAAAAAAAAACCCCAAAGGTACAGGTATAGAACACGTAGCACCTGGTTTAACAGTAGCAACTGTGAGATCTAGATACCCTATTAGACCCTCACTTAAATATGAGCCAAAGTGTGCTGCAGCTGCCAAAAAAGTTAATGTAGTCCTAGGTTACATCAACAAAGGCATAGAATCAAGGTGACATGAAGGGATAAGTTTGAGACCACACTTAGAATACTGTATCCAGTTTTGGTCAATACAATATTGTACAATAGAAATGCTGTGACTCTAGAAAGAGCGCAGAGAAAAGCAACAAAGATTATAAGGGCATGGAAGCTAAACCATACGATGAACAGTTGAGGGAACTAGGTATATCTAGTGTAATGAAGATAAGGACTGAGGGGTGATATGATAGTAGTCTTTCAGTACTTGAGTGGCTGTTGCAAAGACGGGGGGGGGCACCCTATTCTCTCAAGCACTAGAGGGCAAGACAAGAAGTAGTGAGTGGAAGATCATTAAAGAAAGATCCAAACTAGAACTACCAAGAAATTTCTTGACAGTGAGAACTGTCAATCAGTGGAACGGCTTGCCTATAGGTGCTCCATCACTGGAAGTTTTAAAGAAGAGATTGGACAACCATTTGACTGAAATGGTATAGAACAGTGGTGGCGAACCTATGGCATGCGTGCCAGAGGTGGCACTCAGAGTGCTTTCTGTGGGCACGTGTGCCATGCCCCAGAGATGGCAACCATCCCTCTTCAACCAACCGCCTGCTAACTCGCCGAGGTCCCACGTGGCCGGATGCATCCCAGCATGGCTGGTTTCCCTCCGCCCTCTCATCCCTCCTGGCCTCGCATGCTCTCCTTTTCCTGGGCACGACCCACTGCATCGCCTCCTCAGCTGTCGGCCAGATGTCCAGCTCAGAGGCGGCTTCTCTGAACTGCTGGAGGTGGGCTGCGGACCCCCAGAGTGTGCTGGTTGAGGGGCCAGCAGGCTGTGGCTGCTGACAGACAGTCGGCCCCCATGCACCCGCTGGCCTCTATGTGCGGGGGCCGATGGTGTCAGGAAGCAGCCGCCCTGGCTCCTGCCCACTGCCCCACCTGCCAGAGACCCCCTGGATCTCCCCCAACCCTGCCCGGTCCCCACAGGTCTGCTAAACGCTAAATGCCATGTGCTTCTTTAAGTTTGCTTATACAGAAATCTCCATAAAGTCAAAGCAACAGATACATAAAAAGCCTAGAAAATGGGGGAGGAGAGGATGGAGCTGAAAAAGAGGAAGTGACTTCTATATACAGTAAAAGAATGGTTTTAGGGCCATGGTGGCGAACCTGTGGCACGCAGAGCCCTCTCTGTGGGCACATGTGCTGTTGCCCCAGTCCTAGGCCTTCAGCTGGGTTTTATAAAACCTTTTCACTTTAGGCCTCTACCGCCGTGTGCAAAAAAAAAAAGGTTCAATCAATCAGTCAATTTTAACTTCTTGTGGGAAAAAAAATCTTGCAAAGTTGGAATTGATTGATTGAACTTTTTAGTCCCACCCAGTCTGCCGTTACCACCGCAGCCACGCCCACCCAATGGGCCACACCCACCTGGCACCCAACAATACATAAATGGGTTTGGGGTTGCAGTTTGGGCACTCGGTCTCTAAAAGGTTCACCATCACTTGTTTAGGCTTTCCTGCCTGAGCAGGGGGGTTGGACTAGATGACCTTCAAGGTCCCTTCCAACTTTATTATTATTATAAACTGGTAAACATTTCAAAAGAAACATTTCAAAGGGTTGCAGAAAGGGTAGTATTATGCATTTACACACACAAGTCTAGAAATATTGCCAGGCTTTGTCTGACACACATTCTTTTTTTATTGGAAATTGTTAAATGTAGTTAAATATACAAAAGCACAAATCAAATATAGGAAATATAAACAGGAAATGAATTGCAAAAAAGAAAAACCATACAACTGTGCCTTCTGCCCTTCTCTCTACTGAGCAATTGTCAACATACAGTCCTACATTTCTATCTGGGAATTATCTCTCCTTGGAAACGGGAGCCTGGCTTGAACTCCGTTCCTCAAGTGAAATCCAGACCAACATTTGCCTTCCACATTGCTCATCTCTGTGCAGAGGAACAGGGAGGGTTTTTTTTCTATGCACAGGTAGCAAGTAGTAACTAGATCAAGGTTGAGTCTCATTTCAGAACTCTGTGGTCCAGATGGAATCACTGGGAATGAGACGGGATCGACAGACCAGTTTTTTTCTCTGCCAGCTGCCCAATTCCATCTGAGGCAGCCAAAATGCAGGGCCCTTTTTAAGACTGGAGAGCCCTCCTCTCTCTCTCTCTATTTATCCATCTATGTATCTATATCTATCTATCCATCTAATCTAATCATCCATCCATCCATGTATCTAATCATTATCTATCTCAGTGGTGGCGAACCTATGGCACGGGTGCCAGAGGCGGCACTCAGAGCCCTCTCTGTGGGCACTCGTGCCGTCACCCCAGTCCTAGGTCTTCAGCTGGGTTTTATAAAACCTTTTCGCTTTAGGCCTCCACCGCTTCCGTGTGCAAAAAAAAAAAGTTCAATCAATTTCAACTTCTCGCGGGGGAAAAAAAAGATCTTGCAATGTTGGAATTGATTAATTGAACTTTTTAATCCCACACAGTCTGCCATTACCACCGCAGCCACGCCCACCCAATGGGCCACACCCACCCGGCACCCGACGATGCATAAGTGGGTTTTGGGTTGCAGTTTGGGCACTCGGACTCTAAAAGGTTCGCCATCACTGATCTATCTAATCATCTATCTCTAATCATCTATCCATCTATATAATCTATCTATCCATCTATCTAATCATCTATCTAGCCATCTATCTAATCTATCCATCCATCCATCTAATCATCTATCTAATCATCTATTCATCTATCTAATCATCTATCTATCCATCTAATCATCTATCCATCTATCTAATCATCTATCCATATCCATCCATCTAATCATTATCTATCTAATCATCTATCTCTAATCATCTATCCATCTAATCATCCATCTAATCATCTATCTATCCCTCTATCTAATCTATCTAATCATCTATCCATCTATCTAATCTATCTATCCATCTATCTAATCTATCCATCTATCTAATCATCTATCTATCCATCTATCCCTATCCACCATCCAATCATTATCTATCTAATCATCTATCTATCCATCTATCCCTATCCACCATCCAATCATTATCTATCTAATCATCTATCCATCTATCCCTATCCATCCATCTAATCATTATCTATCTAATCATCTATCTCTAATCATCTATCCATCTAATCATCTATCTAATCATCTATCT